TTCCCGCCACACTAAGGTTGTGTGACTCTTAAAGTGACAGCAGCCTAATAAATTTGCTGCACTCCGTCATTAATTTTAATTAAAAACAAACTTCAGTAGTTTAAATTGTGAATAATTTAGTAATAATTTAATAATAAATAAACAGTTATTTGTTCTTCTGTTTGTTTTATATTTTCTTGTTTACTTAATTTTTCAATTCATTTCAAAGACTAAAATTAAGCTCTACCCCACCACACAACTTCAGGCCCAGTATAGAACACACACACACACACACACACACACACAGAGAGAAAGAAAGCATCAAGTCTATACTATACACCACACAACTTCAGGCCCAGTATAGAACACACACAGAGAGAGAAAGCATCAAGTCTATACTATATGATCATGTGTACATAAGTCCCCCCCCCCAATGTTACTGTATGAGACATGCTAATTTAATGTCATGCTTTCTGCTTCCAGGTATCAAAAAAGAAAACAAATTGGCAAAATAAAGAAAACTGAAGAGCTGACTGAGCAAAACTCCCGCGGCGAATAGAATGGCTTACAGTTAATGAAGAGCACTTCTAGATCTGAACAGCACATCTTCTTTAACACAGTTACATCTGTACACCACCTCTCATTGATGTAAAAGCATGTCCCGCCGCTGTGTGATTTCCCCGTTGATTCTGCGTCGCAATCCGCTCTGAACAGCTGAAGTCAAGTCACCTTTATTTATATAATGCTTTTAACAATACAGATTGTGTCAAAGCAACTGAACAGCATTATTTAGGAAAATAGTGTCAATAATGCAAAATGACAATAGTAAACACTCATTTTTCAGTTTAAGGCAGTTCATCATTGAATTCAGTGATGCCATCGTCCAGCTCAGTTCAGTTTAAATAGTATCTTTGCAATCATTTGCAATCACAGAAGTGTCATGATTGTTAAGAATTAATATACATGTGACAAGTTCTGACAAATCAGAATGTGGTATTTGTCCTTGTTGGTCAGTTATTTTTTTTAGTGCCATGGTAAAATGGTTAATGTTTTTTAGGTACACGTTGAAATGTTGCCCTGTTTATTCCTGTTTTAAAGTTTTTCCTAAATTTTAATTTTTTGGCTTTTGTATTTTTTCTACACAATAAAACTGTTTTGAACTTGAATGCATGATTGTACAAATATTATCAGATTTTTTCTACATTATCTCAGACTAGTATACTAGTCTCAGTATTAATCTCAGGCTAGTATACTTATTATCATTTCCGAAACCTATATATCATTACCGCAACAGATGTTCATTAGATGTTAATTAATAGAAAAATAGTACTTTGATTTTAAATGCATGTGCAGAATCTACAAATTATGTTCTTTCGGGTTTGTCACGTCATTTTGAAAAAAATATCTGGTTTAATTGAAATATTACCAAAAATATGGTTGTAAATTGTGGAAGGTGTTGCGGTAATGAGAGAAATCAATAAAAATAAAAAAACTGTCAAATTAAATATAAATATTATTTCAGAATTTCAATTACCTGCGCATGACTATTAATAATCCAGTTTTAAATATGTGAAAATGTATTTGCTTTTCTAACAGTGTTGATGTTTTTAGACTGTTGCGGTAATGAGATTTTTTAGGACTTATTTTGGAAATTATGTTCAAAAAGGTGTTAAATGGTAAGTAAAAGTTTTTAAATTAATGTTCATAAATACTGCAGACTTTGTTGCTAATGTCTGAAAAAAAAGGTTAATTTAAGCATTTTTTACATTTTCATGCTTGAAATTTTTAAAACTAAGATTTCGTGACAATCACCCGGATACTATTATGCGCGTCTCGTGTTTATAAGAGCAAAAGCTTCTGATTGGCTAGTAATGTTAGTTTGGTTGAGAGTGAAAGCTGTGCTCCTCTCATACATTGGTAGGCGAACTCATGAACTCAAACGTGATATCCACAAGTGTTTTTAAATGTAGGACGACTATCTTTTTTTTCCCGCAGCCAAACACCACACGCCGGAGATCCGGCACGATGCCGGAGAACTTTAAGCTCTGACCCCATAAACACAAGCCTAGGGAAAAAAACAGTCAACCACCCATTTAAATGTATGTTTCCAATTGTTGTTAACAGACAAGCCCCCAATTATCATGTCCTATCCTCAGTTTAGGGTTGGAGAGGAATAAAAAAGTTAAGAGGACAAGATTACACAAAATTTCCAAGCAAAAGTGTGGTATGTATTTACAGTTCTCAACATAAAAGCATGGAAGAAAAAAGAGAGAGACCTACTTACACACAGTATGGCAATCAAATATAAAACAACAACAACAACAAATAATAATATTATGCCCTGGGATGTAAAAATACTTTTATATTCTTTCTTGTTTATCTTTTTTCCCTGGGCATTGCAACATTTTTTTTCTTTTTGCATGACTTATGTTGGTCCCAAACTTGGGTTATAAACACTAGTGAAAACACATTTTTAAATATTAAAAAAATGACTTGTGTATTTATATGAGTAATGACATCACAAAGAACACAAAATAGGGTCTCACGTTTACACAAATTGCCTCCAGAATGAATGCACAACTGATTACTGAAAATAGCACTCCATATTTCAGGTCTCTTTGATATATGAAACTATTCACTCTGAAGGCCTGTGAAATACCTTTTTGCATTGTGAAGTCTCATGTAAATGATCATGTTTCCTTTAAAGGGTTAGTTCACCCAAAAATGAAAAATACCCCATGTTTTATTCACCCTCAAGCCATCCTAGATGTATATGACTTTCTTCTTTCAGATGAATAAAATCAGAGTTATATTGAATAATGTTCAGGCTAATCCATGCTTTATAATGGGAGTGGACCATAGCTCAAAATTTTAAGTCCAGAAAACTGCACCCATCCATTATAAAAGAAGTCCACACGGTTCTTTTGGGTTCATAAAAGCTTTCCGAAGCGAAACGATACGTTTGTGTAAGAAAAATATCCATATTCACAACTTTATAAACCTTAATCTCTAACTTAAGCTAACTGTCGTACACGCATTCACGAGAGTGGCGTCCAGCGGATGATGTAGGACGTAGGCGTATCGTAAACTCCGGTGAGAATATGCTAGTCTCGCGAGAAACAAGTTTTGTTTACAGCAAAGGAAAACCAGTGTCCTCTTGGCTTATATTGAAATCCTCCAACATTTTTCCTTTACAAATCCTCATTTTGTATTACTAATATGTGACCTGTGTTTTGTTTTGCTCTCTCCTCTGCGCTTCCACATTCGTCACTTCCGCGTTCGTCACCGCGTTCGCCTACGTGATACGTCATCCGCTGGACACCACTCTCTCGTGAATGTGCGTACGACAGTCAGCGGAAGCTAGAAATTAAGATTTATTAAGTTGTAAATATGGATATTTTTCTTACACAAACGCATCGCATCGCTTCTGGAGGCCATTATTAACCCCCCAGAGCCATGTGGACTTCTTTTACAATGGATTGGTTCAATTTTTTGGACATCAAATTTTGGGCTACCATCCACTCCCATTATAAAGCTTGGAAGAGCGAGGATGTTTTTTAATATAACTCCGATTGTATTCGTCTGAAAGAAGAATGTCATATACACCTAGGATGGCTTGAGGGTGAGTAAACCATGGGGTAATTTTCATTTTTGGGTGAATTATCCCTTATAAGGTTGAAACTCTTTCCACACTGGGGGCAAGTGAAACATATCTTTCCACAGTGATATGACATGTAAGACTTAGCTCCAATGAGAGTTATTACGTGAAACTCCTACCACTTAAATGATATTAATGATACTTTTCTTGAGTGTATTCTCAAGGATTGAGTTTAAGGGTTAGGTCTACCTGAAACTCTATCCACACAGATCACATGTAAATGCCTTCTCTCTGCTCTGAATTCTCATGAGCCAGATATGGATTCATTTTCAGTGTAAACTTCTGCCGAAACTTCCACATTGTAAGCAGGTAAAAGGACTCTCCAGTATGACTTCTCATCTGAACTTTAAAGGATTAGATCACCCAAAAATTAAAATTAGACTGTGTTTTACTTACCCTCGAAGCATCCTAGGTGTATATGACTTTCTTCTTTCAGACGCAGTCAGCAGGTGTTGCAGTTGAACAGTCCACAAGTCGTCAAATAAAGCGTTCGCTTTCATAATAAAACGTGCCTCACACGGCTCCGAGGGGTGAATAAAGGCCTCCTGTAGTGAATTCATGCGTTTTTGTTAGAAAAATATCCATATTTCAAACGTAATAAACACTTTTCTCTCACTTCCGGTATCTGTCATATGCGGATCCGTTCCGGCGGAAGGCGTATGACGTATGCACAGCGCGCGCACCTCTGAGATATGCTAGTCTCGAGTTTGTTTATGGGAGCAAACGAAGCAAAGTTTCCTTACTTTAGCAAAGGAAAACCAGTCTCCTCTTGGCTTATATCGAAATCCTCCAACATTTTTCTTCGCAAATCCTCGGTTTGTACTTCTAATTCGTAAGTGGCGTTTTGTTTTGTTCTCTCTCCGCATTCGTCACGAATCACGCAACGCCGGCATACTACGCCATCCGCCGGAATGGCTTCCGTATATGACAGATACCGGAAGTGAGAGAAAAGTGTTTATTACGTTTGAAATATGGATATTTTTCTTACAAAAACACTTGGATTCGCTACAGCAGGCCTTTATTCACCCCCCCGGAGTCGTGTGAAGCCCTTTTTATTATGAATGCGAACGCTTTATTTGATGACTTGTGGACTGTTCAACTACAACACTACAACACCCGCTGACTGCAATGATACAGCTTGGAATAGCCAGGACAATTTTTAATATAACTCCGACTGGATTCGTCATTCGAAAGAAGAAAGTCATACACACCTAGAATGCCTCGAGGGTGAGTAAAACACAAGCTAATTTTCATTTTTGGGTGAACTAACCCTTTAAGGTTTCTATGTTGATTAAAACCTTTTCTCTCTGGTGTAAATTCTCATGTGCCTGTTAAGCATCTCCTTTTGAGTGAAACTTATTCCACACTGTTGGCAGGTAAAAGGCTTCTCTCCAGTTTGAATTCTCATGTGGTAATTAAGATTTCCTTTTCGGTTAAAACTTTTTCCACACTGTTGACAGTTAAAATGGCTCTCCAGTATGAACTCTCACATGGACTTTAAGGTTTCCATGTTGATCAAAACTCTTTCCACACTGAGGGGATATTTACAGCTTTTCTCAAATGTGTATTCTCATGTGGACTTTAAGGTTTCCATGCTGAATGAAACACTTTCCACACTTAGGGCATATGTAGGACTTCCCCTCCAGTGTGGGCTCTCATGTGCCTGTTAAGGCTTCCTTTTTGAGTGAAACTCTTTCCACACTGCTGGCAAGTGAAAGGGCTTTCTCCAGTGTGTACTCTCATGTGGTCATTAAGGTTTCCTTTTCGGTTAAAACTTTTTCCACATTGATGGCAGGTAAAAGGGCTTTCTCCTGTATGAATTTTCACATGGACTTTAAGGTTTCCATGATGATGAAAACCCTTTCCACACTGGGGGCATGTGTAAGGCTTCTCCCCAGTGGGAATTCTCATGTCCCTATTGTGAATCCCTTTTTGAGTGAGACTTACTCCACACTGTTGGTTGGTGAAAGGGTTTTCTCCAGTGTGAATTCTCATGTGGTACTTAAGGTTTCCTTCTCGGTTGAAACTTTTTCCACACTGTTGACAGGTAAAAGGGTTTTGTCCTGTATGAATTTTCATGTGGACGTTAAGGTTTCCATGTTGATGAAAACTCTTTCCACACTGAGGGCACGTGTAAGGCTTCTCTCCAGTGTGAATTCTCATATGCCTGTTAAGGTTTGTTTTTTGAGTGAAACGTTTTCCACACTGAAGGCAGGGGAAAGGTCTTTCTCCAGTGTGAGTTCTCATGTGGTAATCAAGGTTTCCTTTACTTTTGAAATGTTTTCCACACTGTTGACAGGTAAAAGGGTTTTGTCCTGTATGAATTTTCATGTGGACGTTAAGGTTTCCCTGTTGATCAAAACTTTTTCCACACTGCAGGCATGAATAAGGTTTTTCTCGCGTGTGAATTCTCATGTGGACTTTAAGGTTTACATGTTGATGAAAACTCTTTCCACACTGAAGGCATGTGTATGGCTTCTCTCCAGTGTGTATTCTCATATGCCTGTTAAGGTTTGTTTTTTGATTGAAACGTTTTCCACACTGAAGGCAGGGGAAAGGTCTTTCTTCAGTGTGAATTCTCATGTGTACTTCAAGCTTTTCATTTTGATCAAAACTCTTTCCGCACTGATGGCATGTGTAAGGCTTTTCCCTAGTATGATTTCTCATGTGCCTATTGAGAACCACTTTTTGCGTGAAACTTACTCTACACTGAGGGCATGAGTAAGGCTTCTCTCCAGTGTGTATTCTCATGTGCCTGTTAAGGCTTCCTTTTTGAGTGAAACATTTTCCACACTGCTGGCAAGTGAAAGGGCTTTCTCCTGAATGAATTTTCATGTGGACTTTAAGGTTTCCATGCTGATGAAAACCCTTTCCACACTGAGGGCATGTGTAAGGCTTCTCCCCAGTGTGAATTTTCATGTCCCTATTGAGAATCCCTTTTTGAGTGAGACTTACTCCACACTGTTGACTGGTGAAAGGTTTTTCTCCAGTGTGAATTCTCATGTGGTACTTAAGGTTTCCTTCTCGGTTGAAACTTTTTCCACACTGTTGACAGGTAAAAGGGTTTTGTCCTGTATGAATTTTCATGTGGACGTTAAGGTTTCCCTGTTGATCAAAACTTTTTCCACACTGCAGGCATGAATAAGGTAATTCTCGAGTGTGAATTTTCATGTGGACTTTAAGGTTTCCATGCTGATGAAAACTCTTTCCACACTGAAGGCATGTGTATGGCTTCTCTCCAGTGTGAATTCTCATATGCCTGTTAAGGTTTGTTTTTTGATTGAAACGTTTTCCACACTGAAGGCAGGGGAAAGGTCTTTCTCCAGTGTGAATTCTCATGTGTACTTCAAGCTTTTCATTTTGATCAAAACTCTTTCCGCACTGATGGCATGTGTAAGACTTTCCCCTAATATGATTTCTCATGTGCCTATTGAGAACCGCTTTTTGAGTGAAACTTACTCCACACTGAGGGCATGTGTAAGGCTTCTCTCCAGTGTGTATTCTCATGTGCCTGTTAAGGCTTCCTTTTTGAGTGAAACATTTTCCACACTGCTGGCAAGTGAAAGGGCTTTCTCCAGTGTGTACTCTCATGTGACAATTAAGGTTTACTTTTCGGTTGAAATGTTTTCCACACTGTTGGCAGGTAAAAGGGCTTTCACCTGTATGAATTTTCATGTGGACTTCAAGGTTTCCATGCTGATGAAAATCCTTTCCACACTGAGGGCATGTGTAAGGCTTCTCTCCGGTGTGAATTTTCATGTCCCTATTGAGAATCCCTTTTTGAGTGAGACTTACTCCACCCTGTTGGCTGGTGAAAGGTTTTTCTCCAGTGTGAATTCTCATATGCGTGTTAAGGTTTGTTTTTTTATTGAAGCTCTTTCCACACTGAGGGCATGTGTAAGGCTTCTCCCCAGTGGGAATTTTCATGTCCCTATTGAGAATCCCTTTTTGAGTGAGACTTACTCCACACTGTTGGTTGGTGAAAGGTTTTTCTCCAGTGTGAATTCTCATGTGGACTTTAAGGTTTACATGTTGATGAAAACTCTTTCCACACTGAGGGCATGTGTAAGGCTTCTCTCCAGTGAGTATTCTCATATGCCTGTTAAGGTTTGTTTTTTTATTGAAGCTCTTTCCACACTGAGGGCATGTGTAAGGCTTCTCTCCAGTGAGTATTCTCATATGCCTGTTAAGGTTTGTTTTTTTATTGAAGCTCTTTCCACACTGAGGGCATGTGTAAGGCTTCTCTCCAGTGAGTATTCTCATATGCCTGTTAAGGTTTGTTTTTTTATTGAAGCTCTTTCCACACTGAGGGCATGTGTAAGGCTTCTCTCCAGTGAGTATTCTCATATGCCTGTTAAGGTTTGTTTTTTTATTGAAGCTCTTTCCACACTGAGGGCATGTGTAAGGCTTCTCTCCAGTGAGTATTCTCATATGCCTGTTAAGGTTTGTTTTTTTATTGAAGCTCTTTCCACACTGAGGGCATGTGTAAGGCTTCTCTCCAGTGAGTATTCTCATATGCCTGTTAAGGTTTGTTTTTTTATTGAAGCTCTTTCCACACTGAGGGCATGTGTAAGGCTTCTCTCCAGTGAGTATTCTCATATGCCTGTTAAGGTTTGTTTTTTTATTGAAGCTCTTTCCACACTGAGGGCATGTGTAAGGCTTCTCTCCAGTGAGTATTCTCATATGCCTGTTAAGGTTTGTTTTTTTATTGAAGCTCTTTCCACACTGAGGGCATGTGTAAGGCTTCTCTCCAGTGAGTATTCTCATATGCCTGTTAAGGTTTGTTTTTTTATTGAAGCTCTTTCCACACTGAGGGCATGTGTAAGGCTTCTCTCCAGTGAGTATTCTCATATGCCTGTTAAGGTTTGTTTTTTTATTGAAGCTCTTTCCACACTGAGGGCATGTGTAAGGCTTCTCTCCAGTGAGTATTCTCATATGCCTGTTAAGGTTTGTTTTTTTATTGAAGCTCTTTCCACACTGAGGGCATGTGTAAGGCTTCTCTCCAGTGAGTATTCTCATATGCCTGTTAAGGTTTGTTTTTTTATTGAAGCTCTTTCCACACTGAGGGCATGTGTAAGGCTTCTCTCCAGTGAGTATTCTCATATGCCTGTTAAGGTTTGTTTTTTTATTGAAGCTCTTTCCACACTGAGGGCATGTGTAAGGCTTCTCTCCAGTGGGAATTCTCATGTGGTACTTAAGGTTTCCTTCTCGGTTGAAACTTTTTCCACACTGTTGACAGGTAAAAGGGTTTTGTCCTGTATGAATTTTCATGTGGACGTTAAGGTTTCCCTGTTGTTCAAAACTTTTTCCACACTGCAGGCATGAATAAGGTTTTTCTTGCGTGTGAATTCTCATGTGGACTTTAAGCTTTTCATTTTGATCAAAACTCTTTCCACACTGAAGACATGTGTAAGGCTTCTCTCCAGTGTGTATTCTCATGTGTCTGTTAAGGCTTCCTGTTAGAGTGAAACATTTTCCACACTGTTGGCAGGTAAAAGGGCTTTCTCCTGTATGAATTTTCACATGGACTTTAAGGTTTCCATGATGATGAAAACCCTTTCCACACTGGGGGCAAGTGTAAGGCTTCTCCCCAGTGGGAATTCTCATGTCCCTATTGTGAATCCCTTTTTGAGTGAGATTTAATCCACACTGTTGGCTGGTGAAAGGGTTTTCTCCAGTGTGAATTCTCATGTGGTACTTAAGGTTTCCTTCTCGGTTGAAACTTTTTCCACACTGTTGACAGGTAAAAGGGTTTTGTCCTGTATGAATCTTCATGTGGACGTTAAGGTTTCCCTGTTGATCAAAACTTTTTCCACACTGCAGGCATGAATAAGGTTTTTCTCGAGTGTGAATTCTCATGTGGACTTTAAGGTTTACATGTTGATGAAAACTCTTTCCACACTGAAGGCATGTGTAAGGCTTCTCTCCAGTGTGTATTCTCATATGCCTGTTAAGGTTTGTTTTTTGATTGAAACGTTTTCCACACTGAAGGCAGGGGAAAGGTCTTTCTCCAGTGTGAATTCTCATGTGTACTTCAAGCTTTTCATTTTGATTAAAACTCTTTCCGCACTGATGGCATGTGTAAGGCTTTTCCCTAATATGATTTCTCATGTGCCTATTGAGAACCACTTTTTTAGTGAAACTTACTCCACACTGAGGGCATGTGTAAGGCTTCTCTCCAGTGTGTATTCTCATGTGCCTGTTAAGGCTTCCTTTTAGAGTGAAACATTTTCCACACTGCTGGCAAGTGAAAGAGTTTTCTCCAGTGTGAATTCTCATGTGTACTTCAAGTTTTTCATTTTGATCAAACTTTTTTCCACACTGATGGCATGTGTAAGGCTTTCCCCTAGTGTGAATTCTCATATGGTATTTAAGGTTTCCTTTTCGGTTGAAACTTTTTCCACACTGTTGGCAAATAAAAGGGTTTTCTCCTGTATGAATTTTCATGTGGACATTAAGGTTTCCATGCTGATGAAAAGCCTTTCCACACTGAGGGCATGAGTAAGGCTTCTCTCCAGTGTGAATTCTCATGTGCCTGATAAGGTTTGTTTTTTGATTGAAACTTTTTCGACACTGTTGGCAAGTAAAAGGGTTTTCTCCTGAATGAATGTTCATGTGGATTTTAAGATTTCCATGCTGATCAAAACACTTTCCACACTGAGGACATGTGTAAGGCTTCTCTCCTTTGTGAATTCTCATGTGGACCTTGAGGCTTCCTTGTAGATAAAAGCTCTTTCCACACTGTTGGCAGGTGAAAGGCTTCTCTCCTTTGTGAATTTTCATGTGGGCTTTAAGGTTTCCATGTTGAGTGAAAAGCTTTCCACACTGAAAGCAGGTTAAACAACTTCTAGTTCCTATCGCTTTAACTCTTTTTTGTGAGGAAGCCTTTTTAGTCTGTGAGCAATTGAAAGATTTTTCTTCAGTTATAAAATCATGATGGTTCTCATACTGATCTTTCTCTTCCATTTCAGTCAGCACTTCATTCTCCTCTTTAATTGCTGTCAGGTCTAATGCAATAAAAAAAGACAAAAACATGTCAAACATTAAAACCAACAACACGTGTTGTACAACCTCATATACACTTAACTACTGAAATACGTGTTGCATGTAATCTCAGAACATCTTTTACATTTTGTTTCAGTGAGCCAATAAGCATGCTTGATGTGCCTAAATCAAGTGCTGGTGATTGGCTCTGGTGAAGCATTAAGGAAAAGCACTAGGTTACACCCAGAAATGTGGCTCATACCTGAGGCTGTAGTGTTTAAGCATCATAACCCCATAGATGTAAGGATATGTTTACACGAGGATCATTTTCATTTAAAAATGCCGTTTTAAAATGAAAATGCTCTAATCCATACTAGCATTTCCACTGCATTTCAGAAAAGAACTCTGTCCACATTACACGACTAAAAACACATGTTGCATAACCATTCATACACACTGTAGCATTATGCTACATAAGACAATTTATAGGATTTATACTACGCTTTTACTAAAAACTCACTTTAAACCACCATCGAGTGTTTGTAATAACTTCCGATTGCGATCTAATGTGTTTAGGCCATACAACTTTGCTGAAATGTCATTTGCAATATTTTATATCAAGCTAATTGTTACACTTGCTTAGCATTTCTCATGTAAACACCCTGTATTATAAAAATATGCAGAATCTTATGAAAATCACTGAAAATTAAATCATTTACTATTGTAAACATGTTTATTAGCTTCATGTTCCCTTTCGAACGTTCACTTCACATTGTGTGTATGGGGAAAACTCCTGTTTTACTCTGTACTGAAGCCCGATTTGTTCACATTTGTGTAGCTACACAAACCAATGGCAGTTTAGCCCGCCAGAAAGGGTGGAGCCGACCTGTATACAAGTCGGCTCGCAGCGCCATTCATCAGATCATTCTCCTTCAGCGACGAGGATCATCTCTTCGCTGACTCTGGAAGAAGCCGAGGAAGAAGCTCCAGCTCTGCTCGCAGCCGTCGAAGACGCCTAAGCAGTGAGGATTCACTGTGGCCATCTGGCACTTGAAGAGCAAGCAAGAGCGATTCCTAAAGAGCAAATTTCTTAGCGCACGTTGTTTCAAATGTCGAGCCGCAAGTTTGGCTCATGCAAGGACCCCTTGCATGAGATGGACGGGCACAATGGGTCCTTCTCAGAGGGCTCGAGGAGTGTCACGTCGGCTCAGCAAGGATGTTTTTTCCGGCGACTCCATGTCCTTGGCAGTGTCCGATACAGAAGAGTGGGTAGATTCCGGCGATGAGCCCGAAGTCCCTCTCAAGCGCCGAGGCCAAAGCCAGACTCATCTGGTTGTGCTAGACCCCGAGCCACCTAAGCCATCCTGATGCGCTAGAGAGGAAGAGGAGGGGCTCTGTTCTCGCCTTGGCCGGAACGACCCACAAAACAGCTCACTTTCATTCTCCATCACTCCGAGCACCTCTGAGCAATGGAGCTTCGTTTAAAAGCGGGTCACGTCCTGCAGGTGCAGCGCGTACCTGAATGTATTACCGCTGTGATTGTTCCCCGTCTTTTCTCGGCGAGCTCTCATTCGAAAAAATAAACCCTCTCGCCTCCCGTTTCATGGCTTGGGCAGCCATTCCGGGAGTGTTGAGTTGAATTTTAAAACAATTTGAAGAGGTTATTCGCTCCAGTTCACTCGCAGACCACCTCGCTTCAGAGGCATCATTCCAACTTCTGTTCCGGACAACGAAGCACTCATTCTCCAACAGGAGGTGCAAATGTAGCTTGCAAAAGGTGCTGTGGAAATAGTGCCCCCAGCGAACAGCGAGTCAGGCTTTTTCAGCCATTACTTCCTTGTTCCAAAGAAAGATGGCGGGCTCAAACCCATTCTGGATCTCAGGCGTCTGAACCACTTGCTTATGCGCTGGTTGTTCAAGATGTTAACTGTAAAACAGATCCTCGCGCACATTTGCCCCGAAGACTGGTTTTTGACTGTGGATCTCAAAGATGCATACTTTCACATCCACATAGCCCCCCCATCACAGACCATTCTTCAGATTTGCATTTGAGAGAGTAGTCTATCAGCATACAGTCCTTCCGTTTGGACTGTCTCTGGCCCTGCACACTTTCACAAAGTGCATGGCTCTTTCCCCTCTGAGACAGATAAGAATATGTGTTTTGAACTACCTCGACAATTGGCTGGTTCTTGCCAGGTCAGATCGGGAGTTGGCTGCTCACAGAGAGCTGTTACTCAGACACTTGGAGCGCCTTGGGTTGATCATCAACCCGCACAAGAGTCAGTTGTTACCCAGACAGCAAACAGTCTTTCTGGGAACGATTTTAGACTCCGCCCAAATGCGGGCATGAATTACGCCGGAACAATCCCTGACTATTCAGCGATTGGCGGCATCTCTCAAACCGGGGACGACATGCCCCCTAAAAGGTTTTTCAGAGGTTGCTTGGCCTTATGGTGGCCGCCGCCTCTGTGATTTCTCTGGGCCTGCTTCACATGCAGCCCCTTCAGTTTTGGCTCAAACCCCGCGTTCCACCCCACGCCTGGCGCGGTTTCCTGTCAGGGTAGACCACCGCTGTATCAAGGCTGTGGCCCCCTGGATGACCTCTCGCCTGCTCCAAACAGGAATGAGGTTAGGCCTGACCTCCAGAAGGAAGGTAGTCACAACAGACGCGTCCAACTCGGGTTGGGGCACTCTGTTGGAGGGCAATCCAGCATTCGACTCCTGGTCAGCCCCGGAGCAATAACCTGCACATCGACTGCCCAGAGTTGTTGGCAGATTTCTTAGCCATGAAAACCTTCCTTCCAGCCTTGAAAGGGCACCATGTCTTGGTCCGGTCGGACAGCATGACAGTGGTGGCTTATATCAATAACTGAGGCGGTCTCAGGTCACACACTCTTTGCAGGATGGCTTGTCGCCTTCCTCTTTTGGGCACAGAAAGAACTCCTTTCACTAAGGACAATTCATGTTCTGGGCAGATTGAACCTTGGCGCAGACATGCTGTCAAGAGGCAAGGTAGCCCCGGGCGAATAGGTGCTACACCCTCAAAGTTCAAGAGATCTGGTCAGTGTTCGGGAGGGCAAAGGTCGACCTCTTTGCCTCAGAAGACAACTCTCACTGCCCAACATACTTCTCGATACAGCGAGATGCTCTGGCCCACGATTGGCCCAGTGCTTGCCTATGCGCATTTCCCCCGATTGCCCCGATTCCTCAGGTCATCAGGCGGGACAGGGAGACCAAGTGCTCTCTCCTCCTAGTGGCCCCGCTCTGGAGGAACCAGGCTTGGTTCCCGTAGGTAGTGCAGCTCTCAGCAGCAGCCCCGTGGCCCATTCCGCTGATGAGGAATCTTCTCTCACAGGCGGAAGACATGATTTGGCATCCCCAGCCGAAGCCTTCATGTATGGTGCCTCGACACGAGCTTAATCAGCTCCCAGCGAGAGTAAACTATACCATTTTGGAGGCAAGAGCGTTGTCTACAAGACGACTTTAAAGCCAAAAATGTTTGGTCTTCCATAACTGGTGTTCTGCACAGAGTTTGTACCTGATATCATGTGATGTGTCCCACGTGCTAACCTTTTTGCAAGAGCTGCTGGATAAGGGGCGCGCCCCCTCCACGCTCAAAGTATACGTGGCAGCTATCGCAGCGAACCATTCTCTCGAAGCTCTGAGCAGTTGTTTGATTGCTTCGGAAGCCGCTATGAAGAACTGCCGGCCACAAAGCAGCGACTTTCTCGCTGGATTGTAGATGAGATAGCCCTGGCTTACGCATCAGAAGGTTTGCAATGCCCTATAGGTGTGAATGCCCATTTCAAAAGCGGAATATCTATTGGTGAGATCTGTGCGGCCACCGGCTGGTCGTCACCGTCCGCATATGCCAGATTTTATAACTTAGATGAGTTCGGTCTGTTTGATGTTCCACTCTTCCCCTTGAGCAAAGTGGTTATATTAGAGCTCTCAGCTACCAGCTTGGGGCGCAATGTGCTCAGGTTTTTAGGGGTCCTTGTTAGTGCTCCGAGACTGGGCTCGCAAAGCAGGAAATCCTGTATCTGCTCATAGCGCGGCATGATTGGACGCGTTCCCTGCACACACAACGTGAAGTGAACGTTCGAAAGGGAACGCTCCTGTTACTGATGTAAGCTCGGTTCCCAGAGATAAGGGAACGAGCGTTGTGTCACTTGCTGTGCGAATCGATGACAGGCTTCAGTCGAATGATCTGATGAATGGTGCTCCTAGCCGACTTACATACAGGTCGGCTCCGCCCTTTCTGGCGGGCTAAAGCGCCATTGGTTTGTGCAGCTACACAAACGTGAACAAATCAGGCTTCAGTAGAGTAAAACAGGGGTCCATTAATAAAACATTCATGCATGACGGCGATTTAAACCTAATTCACTTCAATAAAGATAACATGCTATTCTTGTCATGAGCATCAAGGTGTGGGGGTGCTGCGGTGCAAATTCCACTCATGTTTAGTACATGTTAACTCAAAGATTCGTAGAAAAAATATAAACGTTGGACTCAATTGAAAGAAGGAATTATGGAATTCTTCTGTAGCCTGACGAGTAACTTTAACCGTTGTTCATGTGAACTCAAAGACAGCCTGATGCTTTGTTTATAGACTATTTGTGGGTGGCTGTTTGTTGTTTCACCTATCAATTCGTGTCGATAAAGTATAATAGGGTAAATCCTGTATAGAAATGTATCCTATATAGTGCTTGCATAAAGCAAGTAGTGCATACACTTGTAGCTGTTATGTATCTTTGTAAGTCATTTGTAAGCTGAAGAAAGTTTAATACTTCTGCTGTGATCTTTGTTTGCAACTATTTTCGTTGTAGAAATTCAACTAAAACAGTAAATATTGTGTCTAAAATGTAAGTAACTTAAAAACGACCTGACTAATTTACTTGTCTGTTGAACTAAAATCAATGTGACATTTGCAATCGTGAAAATATTCAGGAAAATAGCTCCCTTTTCAAGGCGTTACTTAACTAAATCATGTTATGAATAAACTAAACATTTAGAATGTTTACCTCAGTGTGTTTCTTCTGAGTTTCTTTGTGTGCCATTACACTCATTAGTTTTGAAGTCTCTCACAAAGAGACAAACAAAGTGAGCCTCAACAGCGCAACCTTGATACCAGAAATACATTATCAATCGCTGTTTACGCTGAATGTAATAAAACCAGAAGAATCTTTATCGCGTTTCGATGCTTTGCTGGTTATTTTTTTGTCACTTAAATTTTAGTCAGGCTGTTTGTAAGTAAAAAAATTAAAAAATTAAAACATTTTAATCTAGCTAGAAGGCTGGTCAGCTGTAGCTCAACCTACATTATTATTACTAAGAACATTATATAAACAAAGAAGGTGGTTCAACCTGTATTCCACTACTGCAATTCTGTCTGATGACGCAGTAATACCGCGGGGGAAGAAAAAAAATCTTTGGTCTGCCCAATGATTGTAAACAGTCATTAGGTCCGTCAGGCTGAAAAAGATATTTTAAAAGGGTAATCGGATGCCCATTTTCCATAAGTTGATATGATTCTTTAGGGTCTTAAAGAAAAGTCTGTAACATAGTTTGATAAAAATGTCTCAATGGTAGTGTAAAAAACACCTTTTTTACCCTGTCAAAAACAGCTCTTTTCAGATCAAGCCGTTTTTGTAGCATTTCTCTTTAAATGTTAATGAGCTCTGCTGGCTCCGCCCCTCTCTTCCCAGCTGCTCTCTGAGAGACTGTTTACTTTAGCCGCATTCATCGTGAACCTTGCAAATTAGCACATTATTAGGAAAGGCGATTTGCAAAGATTCTTACAAAACATTATACTCCTGTAGATGAGGCTGGACCATGAATGATTCGCGCGAACATAGACGCATTTATGTAGATCAGGGGCGCATTCCCTTCAGAAACAATGTAATCCACTGCGTCTTCAGCGGCTCAGATGTCGGGAGTAAATGATGACTGCTATGTTCATTATTACATCCAACAACAGAACACCTCGATCGCTTAGGAGTCATTCACAACCAAGTAGGAAACAGATCCGGCGTGACGCAGCTGACACAGAACAGCATACGCTGTTTATGTCCAGCTGATATTCTCCAAAATGGCACCAGGGTGAAACGAAATGTTGAATAAAGTCTTTTTTTTTTCTTCTTTTGCGCACAAAAAGTATTCTCGTATCTTCGTATAATTGCGGATGAACCGCTGATGTCCCATGGATTATTTTACAGATGTCCTTGCTACGTTTCTGGACTTGGGAACATTTCAGTTGCGTTGCTGTCTATGCAGGGTCAGCTCTCGGATCCCATCAAAATATCTTAATTTGTGTCCCGAAGATGAACGAAGGTCTTACGGGTTTGAAACGACACGAGGGGGAGTAATTAACGACAGAATTTTCAGTTTTGGGTGAACTAAACCTTTCAGGACCCGCGGACACCCTGCTATAGAAATATTGAAATGCCTACTATTAAACAAACCAATTCAAATAAAAAAAAAAACATCTCTAAATATGTAGTCCGTATGAAAAGGTGCATAAAGGCATGTCCATTAGTCTACTGTGCTAGTCAGCGTCGGCATTTGGCAACTTCATCTTTGCAGCCGACTGACTGAGATAGCACTAGTTTAGTAGGCCTAATAAATCATTACAAGGTCTTCTTTTCCTCCGACGCATTCATAATCAATACTTTTGCCGGTGCTTTGCTGCAAGCTTTATGTGCGCCCTTGAACATGGAATAGGCTATGCCTAAATGCCTATATATTAAAGGATGGTGTAGTAGGCTATTGTTAATCAATTTAAATGATGTGTTTCGGTATTACGAATACGTGTACCGTTACACGCCTACACTACAGTGATGAAGGCCTCTTCCTCTGCTTATTGTATCTAGCTGTGTTGGATGGCAAGCCACAGCAGCAGCTGATGATTCTACAGTAAAGCAGAAGTGTTATTATCCGGTGACAGCTTCATCACAGAAGCACTAGCTGGACTACAGGCTGAGCATCACACACTGCTGGACTCTAGAGTCACCCAATCAACACCAGAGTAAGAAACAAACGCACTGAGAATGCGACCCAACCTGTTAGTTCCTCGAAGTCTTCTGGTTTGAGACTGAACACTTCTTCAATCCTGAAGTCTTCCGTCTCCTCTTTAATAACCGCCATGCTTCTGTGTGTGTGGACACTCTGCCGTGATTAAGAGGAGAATAATTAGCCGATAGACAAACAAACCGCTCAGAACACACATTATAGAGAGTTCATGCGTTATATTTCTTTAGTTTCGACTACACGTGTGTGTCGTTCACCGTTGTGACCACTAAGCTACTAGCTAGGGAGCGAATTCGTGTTTATAATAAACTGATTCAGGACACGGAGAGTTAAAGAAGACGCAACTTTCCCGTTACTCGCTTAACGTACACAAAGTCATGTTTTTTTAATGTTAGGTGAAGTTAAATTAACGTTAAAGGATAGTTTTCTATCAAATAAACTGGTTGCATTTATTCAAACACTTCAGATGATTAAAAACACAAACCTCTCTTCAGCCGAATCACAGACGCGCGGCGCAGCCTTATGACGTCATGGCGTCAAACCAAAATAAAAGTCTTGCTCACACGATTACAGAAATTCACAAAAAAAAAAATTATTATTCATAGTACCAACTGCAAAGCATTTGTGATCTAGTTTAAATCCATAATGAAGTTTGCATTGTCTTCAATTTAAAGGAAAGCACTTACAGTGTGATCTATTTTATTTATTTAAAACTGAATCACTATATTCAATTCAATTCAAGTTTATTTGTATAGTGCTTTTCACGATACAAATCGTTGCAAAGCAACTTTAAATTAAGTTTCTACAATATTTAGTGGTAGTTTATCAGTGGTGATTGTCAGTTAATGTACATATGGCAGAAATGTACGGAAAATCAATTTAAGATGTAATAAAACAGACGATGAACAATATTAACAGCAATTATTATATGATGCAATCAAACTTATAGCAAAATGTGGTAGTTCTGTATGTTGTTTCAGGTTCGACTTTGAACTTCAAAGTTAAGTCAACGTCTGTTGTCAAATTAACTCAAATATGTATCAATAAATATTTTTTGTTGTTTGAGGTTTTTCTGTCATTTATTGTCATTATTGTTCATTGACATTACCATAATGTCTTTTGAGGTGAGGGGGTTGAATATTTCTGATCGCAACTGTATATCCATAGAATGGCAATCAAAATATAAAACAACAACAAATAATATTATGCCCTGGGATGTAAAAATGTGTTCATATTCATTCCTATTTATCTTTTCCCCCTGGCTATTGCAACATTTTTTCTTTTTGCAAGGCTTAAGCTAGACCCAAACTTGGGGTGTGTAACAACTAGTGAAAACCCATTTTAAATGTAATGAGTAATAACATCACAAAAAACACAAATAGGGTCTCACAAATTGTTAAATTTTCTTCCTTGAGAATGAATGCATAACTGATTACTGAAATAGTTTTTTTTTTTGGTAAACCTTTTGCCACACTGAGCAGCACTCATCATTTCAGGTGTCTTTGATATATGCAACTTGTCACTCCGAAGACATGTGAAATACCTTTCTTCAGTGTGAAGTCTCATGTGAATGTTCAAGTTTCCTTTAAGGTTGAAACTCTTATCTCCACTCTTTATCTCCAGTGTGAACCTTAAGATTTGCTTTGTTTCTGCAAGTCTTTCCACAGTGATATCACATGTAAGACCTCTCGCAGATGAGAGTTATTACATGACTCCAAAGTCTTTCCCGTCTGTGAAACTCCTACCACTTTGGTGACATTCTCTCTGGAATGAATCCTCAAGGATTGAGCTTAAGGGTTATGTTTATCTGAAACTCCATACTGATCACATGTAAATGGCTTCTTTCTGTTGTGAGTTCTCATAAGCCAGATATGGATTCATTTTTCAAAGTAAACTTTTGCCGAAACTTCCACACTGTTGGCAGGTAAAAGGTCTCTCCAGTATGAATTCTCATCTGAATTTAAGGTTTCTATGTTGACTGAAACTCTTTCTCTCTGGTGTGCATTCTCATGTGCCTGTTAAGGATCTCTTTTTGATTGAAACGCTTTCCACACTTTTGGCAGGTAAAAGGCTTCTCTCCAGTGTGAATTCTCATGTGGACTTTAAGATTTCCATGTTGATCAAAACTCTTTCCACACTGAGGGCATGAGTAAGACTTCTCTCCAGTGTGAATTCTCATGTGCGTGTTAAGGCTTCCTTTTTGAGTAAAACGTACTCCACACTGCTGGCAGGCGAAGGGCCTTTCTCCAGTGTGAACTCTCAAGTTCTGACTAAGGTTTCATTTTAGGTTGAAACGTTTTCCACACTGTTGGCAAGTATAAGGCTTCTCTCCTTTGTGAATTTTCATGTGGGCTTTAAGGTTTCCATGTTGAGTGAAAAGCTTTCCACACTGAAAGCAGGTTAAACAACTTCCAGTCCCTATTGCTTTTTTAACTCTTTTTCGTGAGGAAGTCTTTTTAGTCTGCGAGCAATTAAAAGATTTTTCTTCAGTTGTGAAATCGTGATGTTCTCATACTGATCTTTCTCTTCCATTTCATTCAGCACTTCATTCTCTTTAACGGACGTCAGGTCTAAAGCTAAAAAACAAAACAAAAAAAAGTAAAATATTAAAACCAACAACATGTTTTGTACAACCTCATATACACTTAGCTACTGAAAGTGGTGCTGCATGTAATCTCAGAACATCTTTTAAATTTTCTTTCAAAAAATTTTTTTTTTTTACTGATTTCCTTTTTGAGTAAAACGTACTCCACACTGCTGGCAGGCGAAGGGCCTTTCTCCAGTGTGAACTCTCAAGTTCTGACTAAGGTTTCATTTTAGGTTGAAACGTTTTCCACACTGTTGGCAAGTATAAGGCTTCTCTCCTTTGTGAATTTTCATGTGGGCTTTAAGGTTTCCATGTTGAGTGAAAAGCTTTCCACACTGAAAGCAGGTTAAACAACTTCCAGTCCCTATTGCTTTTTTAACTCTTTTTCGTGAGGAAGTCTTTTTAGTCTGCGAGCAATTAAAAGATTTTTCTTCAGTTGTGAAATCGTGATGGTTCTCATACTGATCTTTCTCTTCCATTTCATTCAGCACTTCATTCTCTTTAACGGACGTCAGGTCTAAAGCTAAAAAACAAAACAAAAAAAAAGTAAAACATTAAAACCAACAACATGTTTTGTACAACCTCATATACACTTAGCTACTGAAAGTGGTGCTGCATGTAATCTCAGAACATCTTTTAAATTTTCTTTCAAAAAATTTTTTTTTTTTACTGATCGGAATGGCTAGCCTAAGCTCGATCCTTTATTTTATGCCAGATGTCACACAAGTGTCATGCAGTAGGTGGTAAAAGGAAAACAAGACACTAAAGGACTAGTGAGGTCTATTCTAGCATATTAAGGATTCCGTGATTTTCATGGATTTGGGGTATTTCATAGTGAAGCTTTGCAAAAACTCGCTGATCAAATCACAGACGCAGAGCAGCAACACCCGAACTCTGTTATAATCATTCTAGGGGACTTTAAAAAAAAAAAGCAAATCTCTTCCGTGAACTGCCCAAATACAGAAAGCATGTTACATGTCCCACCAGAGACTGTAATATATTGAACCATTGTTAAACCACAATAAAGAATGCCCCATGGGCAGCTTCAGGACTCTCTGACCACTGTTTGGTTAATCTTATACCGACCTAAAGGCAGAAACGGAAATCAGATAAACCTGTTCTGAGGACTGTAAAGTGATGGACCAACGAAACAGAGAGGGATTTACAAGCCAGTTTCGACTGCACTGATTGTAGTGTTTTTGAAGCTGCTGCCATCATATATCAGTTCTCTTTCATCATCTCGTGTTCGAGATCCACCTATGGGAAGGGCATCCGCACCTGACCTCTGCAGAAGCATCCAATTGCACCAAGTCTGGCTAAACAGACAGAAGCGCACAGTCAATGCCAGGTAAGGCCCCACCCCCTTACCTTAGAGCATATATGGGCTGCACGCGTCACTAATCTCCAGTTGTTATTCGCTTCTAGCGACCTCTCTGCTGTGCTCTACTGTTTTGCTGACTTCACTACAGTCGACAGAAGGAAATATCTATTCCGATCAGCCTCCGCCAGGCGTGATTGTCAGAACGTTACAGTTTTGTTGTGATTTCTTTTTCTTGGTTGCAAGCCACCCACGCTCGCTACCTAGATTTTCCACAGGCTGCCCGCCTGTGTTTGCGATTTCACCTCTCCGATGGATAAAACGAAACTATCCGCTCCTGCTAACCCGTTGGGCTGCAGTCGAGTGCATGCCCAGCCACCTGCGGTTCCCTAATTGCCGCGAAGGATACCCATCCTTTCTGCATAGTGTGCACGGGGTTAAAGGAAAACGGCAGCCATTGCCTTGCTCTGCCTAGGAGGCTTCTTCGTTGCAGACTTAAGGTGGCTTCTACCCTAAGCACTGACGAACAGTACGACTCGGACGTTGGAGTGGGTGAAAGCGTGGCAGCTCCGGGGGCCTCCCAGAGCATGCCTGCTCTCAGTTGGGCTGATCAGTCCAACTAAATTATTTCATTCTTGCATGCAAAAAGACCTGTATGGTGACCAGTGTTGGGCAGTAACGCATTACTTAGTAACGCGTTACTGTAATTTGATTACTTTTTTAGTAACGGAGTAATTTAACGCGTTATAATTTTCAAAATAGTAATTAGAGTATAGTTACAAGCAGAGGTCTCTATACGTTACTGCCGCGTTACATTGCTGACAGAATGCAGTGTTTTAAAGGATGTAGCACACGCAGTCATGTGACAAATGACAAAAGATTTGCTTCCTCATAACTTATCTTTGGTTGAATTAAAATGATTTTCTACTTCAGAATATGATCAAGATTGCGTAGGTCCTCGGGGAATTTAGCTGTTAAAACATAACGTTTAACTTGGAATCAGGATTTTTCTAAAGGCTTAAATTCTGAACTAACTTGCAGACTTTGTAAATAGAGCAGAAAATCTGGGCATCACACACTGCTAGACTTTAGAGTCGATCCAATCAACA